TAACAATACACAATGTACTAACCATTGTTACTCTCCTAAAATCTTGTTTTGAGATTTTGTACCATTGTTTTAATTTTTTCTTTAAAATAAAAATAACTGATGTCAGAAAAAAAATAAAATAAAATAAAATTCTTGGGCCAGCAGTAAATAAATAATTAAATACGTACTTCTGGTCTTCTAAATATGTACTTCTTGTCATGACATACCAATTATTACCATACTGTCTCTCAAGTAGACTTTTTTTTAAATGGGTAATAAATAAAAAAGACAGAAGAAAAAAGAAAAAAATGTCACAGGACTGTCCTGCTACAATGTTGTATATGGTTGGATTTCTAAATTTCTGTGTAAAAATATGTAATTGTTCATATTTAAATATTTTTCTTTTTTTAATTTTTATTTCTATATTCTGTAGGGACTTAAAGTTTCACATATCAATACTTGATGGAAAATACCTGCTCCATGTTATGCCTAAGATGTTTGATATTCAGACAGATAGTGAAGTTAAACCTAACTGCATATGTAGGAGGGTAATAATAAGCTTTTCTTCTAGAGTAACAACCTAAGTTTGCAGAGCAAAAATTAGAGAACAAGAAGGGCTGCAAGAACAGCCAACATTCTGACCATAGCCTTTCAAGGTCAGTGGAGACTCAGGACATAGGAGAACTTATACTGTAACATCATGTAACTCAGTTGTGTCCCAAATTTTCTGATCAAGGAGATTATGGATCCAAGAACAACATGATCAATGATGTACAGTGTGCCTATGGAGAGTCACATGGAGAGAAAACATTCTCCCATGCTTGTGCAGAGAGCAAATTAGTCAAGCAATGGCCGTGACTCATCCACATGGCTGACACTGACAAAGGATCTGCAAACTGTGGTACAGACTTACAGGATAAATCCAGAGAGTACTTGGCTGACCTTATCAGATAAAAAGTTACATTTCTTGTTATATAGCTCTTGCTTTATCTTGGTCTTAACCATCCAGCAGAAAAGTATAAAAAACAAGGTATAAAGTAAAGCCATATTAATATGCTGAGCTGTAAAAGGCTCAAGTCAATAACATCTGCAGATAAGCTACTACTATTATGGACTGCTGGACTGTGTTGGATTGTTTTACTGAATTCATGCACCTATAGTATTTAGATGCCAAAGGAATACCCATCTCTGACAGGAGTAAACACAAAAATGGTATACAAAGTACAGACCATTCTGTATCTTTATATACAGAATAGACAGTATAGATATACACCTACTTTTGCTTAAATTGATGAGAAGAAAGTTGTCTACTAATAGAATTTGGACAGGATATCCTGTCTGCATCTTGTACAATGGATGACCATAAGATAACAATGTATAAAGTATTAATTATTGAAACTGTCATATTCATCAATTTTGAAACTGTCTCACTGCTATTTATTTCTCAATTAAATAAAAAAA